ACCAGACGCGCCACTTGCCACTTGCTCAAGCCAGTCAGATCGCATCTCCCCTGAACCACCAGACACTCGCCACTCATGGGAGAAGCAATTGTGGGACCACGTTAGCCCTATAATTGCTTCGTGAAATCGAATGAATGTTGTCTGACTCCGATAGGACGGAATGTGGCGTGGTGACGTTCTGGACGACCTAATTTGCAAGAGCATCAAAAAAGTACGTCCATTTTAGGTCACATTACAGGACCTAGAATGGATGTGATCCTTTCTAAGATCTGGAATTTATCTAGGGAATCTTGTGCTCCAGGGATTCTAGTGTTTCGCCAGGGATTCTAGTGTTTCTGCCAGGACGTGAAGCGCTTTACACAGCGCTTTCGACAAAGAAGTGACATTGTGACACACTCTGAATAGGGGGAGTCAGTACACACCAAAAGGAAGGCCTCTGTACGACCTCATTCTTCCTTTCACAACTACTACTGCGACTCCCACACATTCACTTAGAAAACTTTTGCTAACGTGCGGGGAGAGGGGAATAGATCCGAAAAACATAGGAAGCAGAAGGAACCACCGTCACCAGATACGCGGCTTAGCAGATACACAGTGGGGATATCAGCAAAGGCTCGGTATGATCCTCATCTTCCCTGTGACCAAATACAATCCTGTTGATGTTGCAGGGGCAACAAATAAGAGCAGTATTCTCAAGGTGGACAACCGGCGACGACATTAGAACAAATTTAAGAGGGTGAGGTTGCTCTACATCCCTAATGGTGTGGAGATCGTATTGATGAGCTCGTTTTTCGTGACGGCTCTATTTCGGATTCGATTCTGAGCGGAGGTTGACTACATGGCGTATACCACTGCAATAGCTCGACCTTCCCCTTGCACTTTATCTTCTTTACGACGACTCGTTTGATTGCTGTTCTTCACTGCGCTTTTCTTCATGACAAACAACCATATGGACATTGTTCTTTGATTTCAAGCGAGTTTTCATCGCGAAGCAGCCAGCTATCAATAATAAGTGGTGCTATTCTCATAAGCGGGCCATTTGGACTCACGGGAACACCCAGGTGGGTCCAAAAAACGATTGTGGATTAGAGGGAGTAGGGATTTGGCTAGGAGGAAGAAGCCCTGGGGTGGGCAGACCTAGTTTTCTCAAAATGCAAAACCTTTTTTGCATTTCGTGAGAAGGTGGCTTAACAGGGCACGTCCTGCCGTCGGACAAAGGATCTTTAGAACGCGGCCCCACACCTCGAAATTTCCTCTTCTGGTAAGAAATGGTACGCCCCCTCCCCGTTCCCCCATCGTACCTACCACCTTCCAGAATTTTTTCCATTTTCCCAGCTTTTTTCGGAATTTCTTCCTCTTTCACCAGAAAACTAACGTCCAGCGAAAGGGTGGGAGGGAAAAAAGGGCATATAGCGCACTTGAAACTAAAAAAATTGGAAAAGGCAGCGACCAAAAATTTTTCTTAAATTTCTCAAAGGCGATTAAGATAACTACTTGCAGCGGCGACCGGATACGCTTCTCCTCTCCTCGAAGGAGATGTCCAACGTACGACGTGCTCTGATGCCTAACCCCATCTTAAGCGCTTAGTAGGTTTTACATTCCATAAGGGTTAAAAGTGGTCATAATTGGGCAAAAATAGCAGTTCCAGGCGTTTTTGATCTGCGTTCTCTAGAGCGTTCGAATTTCGCGGGTGAGCGCTCTCTGGACTGCAGTTGCGACGGGCGGCCGTGATACTTTCGGGTGTTCCACGTGCAGGCTACTCCCTTGGCATTCTATTCTCTTTCTGTGGTCACCTATGGTGCTACGGGGCTTTCTATTCCTATTTTTCTCAAGCTTCCTCTTCAGCCTGTCAAAGATTATGTTGGTGTTTCGAGCCTCTCTGGGTAATGTCCCAATGAAAATGTCCTGAAAATAGCGCTGAGGTGATCAATAAGCGCAGGGCGCCCTTAAGAGTTCATTGCTCTTCGTGTTCTTTATTTCCTCCTATCAACACAGTGTAAACCCGAGTACGTGATTCCTGGAAGTGTTTACTTGTACTCTCTAACGTGGCGCTGGGCGATTTTACAAAATCGATGTCGGCCCGTCGATGGCGCTGGCGCTGTTGCGAGCCAGTTGTTTGTGTGTGGAGAGCGCTGTCGCTGCCCCTCGCCCATCGTTTTCTATTGATAAGCCAACTACGCAGTTCATTTCTTCGCTGCGGTGGGCAACCACATAGCAGCACCTCGTTTGGCCCTTCTGTACTGCAGTCGCTCCTTACAATTGCGGCCAAAATGGCGCCGGACTAGTTTCAGAGCAGTTTTAGCCCACGTTTTTGCCTTGCAGCGATTTCCATTCATTCGACAAGCGTTCAATGCTCCGCTACGTGATTTCGCTTACCTGCACTGTATGAATCAATGGCGGCCCCTCCCGAACGATGTACTTGTCATTGGGACCCTTGACAGCTGTGCATTTTAAGTCCAAGTTTTTTCTCCACGAATATTTTTGTCCGCCTAAGCTTTACAACGGACCAGAAGGCGTCACTCATCGAGCCGGTCGTGCCAGGGATGACCATGACCCCAAGGTTACATTCATTCTCGATAGGCACCTTTTCGTCGCCACTGTGAATAGATCGATGTTCGTTCACAGGCGAATTGTAGCGCTGAGCTAACCGGTTACGGCTGAGACTAAACGAACTCTGCTTCCCTCGTTTGCGGAGGTACCAGCGACGCTCGTCCGTCACTCCGTCTGCACGTAGTTCCTGTACTGAAGTGTGAGCCGTTGTTCATTCCTCTACTGTTGCGAGAGGTCCCATAGCGACTCTCTTCTGGACGCTGTCCTGCTCCTGCCCTAGATTGTCCTTTTTTCCAGCATGACCCCCAATCCCTCTACTGCCACCTCAGTCATGACTGTCTTCAACCACGAGTTCATCCATCTCCCGCCCCCTCGTACCTCCTTTTACCCCTGTACATACTTTTTCAGTTTCCCAGAACAAAATTCATCGGATAGAACGGGTGCATATTACACAAGCAACCAACAGCAACGGCTCTTCCCTACCCAGCGGCTCAACCTCAAAC